CCATGGCATAGCAGCTCAACGCACATCCCTCAGGGACTCCACAAGTGCTCCTATGTGGTGGGCCAATTTCTCCTCGAATCTGGAATCGACGCTCCATTTTGGTCAAGAAGCTGTCCCATGCCTGCAGAATCTCTTGAGGGGCTCCTGTGTGTTGTGCCAGGCGCATCACAGGAAGTCTGGGTATATTCTCGAAGGCCTTCTGAATGTCAGTGACCAATCCCTGAAGGGCTGATCCTGCAGAGACACACAGCTCCACCAAGCCTTGTATCATGAATGATATCTGCAGAGCCTCCTTTCCTGGCAAGAACCCCAGCTGCGTGTCGGTAGCCAGGGTCGCTAGGTGTGCCAGCAGTGGACGTGCTCTCGCCGTCGACCAACTCCTATAGATGGTGGAGAAGATGATGATCGGGCGAAAATGTGCTGCCTCAGCCGCTGTGACTGTTTTCGCCAGGCACGCCACGAATCCTGTCAACAACTGATCCGGCCACTCTATTCTTTGCTCTTCTATAGCTGTGAGTAACTCCAGCAAGGCAGACTGAAAGCTCTGAGGAGCCAGTTGAAGATCTCTCCCATGAAAGCCGTCAGGGCCTCTGGCGGCCTTGTCATTGTACCTGGTGTTGACGTCATGCCATCCATGGACATCTAGGTGCTTGTACTCCAGGCGACTTTTGGGCATGAAAGCACGACCAAATGCCAAAATGCGATTCCAGTCACTTTCACTGACCGAAGAATGTTTTTGCCAGCGGGCTGTCCAGAAACTGCCAAGGACCTCCAAAATTGTCGGCACTTGCGAACAAACACTCTGGCACACAATTGATTGGCCTGCCATCAACAAACAGTCTGAATCTTTCACTGTGTATACATCAGCCTCCTTTCTCTCAAGCTGGATGGTCGTCATGGAGTCCACCAGCCAAAATTGACTATCACAAGGGCCCTCGCCGATCGCATGCTCCAAATGGATTTCGCTTCCATCCTCTGCCACTGCCAGAATCTCTGTCTCCTCTGTTTGCAGCAGAGTATCAAGATATTCTTTTTCATGCAAGCGAACCTTTTTGAAAACAAGCTCACGCTGTGCGGTCAATTAGGCTCTCGAAATTTCTTGCTGTCGACGAAGCTGCCAGCTTTCCAACTTGCGAAAGTTACTGGTGAAGTCAACAAGCAACTGCTGTGCAACCATCAGAGAGGGTACACCAGTGGGCAATTCACCAGGAAGCCCTTGATGTTGCACTGGGCGAGTGCGCCACCAGTTCACAAAACCACCCTGGAAGCCTGCAGCTCTCACGATGGCTGCCCAGGTCTCCACACGATGAGCTTGTGCTGAAGCTGTCATCGTGCCTCGTTGCAGGCTTTGCACCAATGCTTGCAACCGGCGTGCCTGCCGGTACCAGAGTTGAACACCTCTGCAGGCAAAGTCTGACACCAGGCGAAGATCACCTTCACGTGCAGGTCTGCACATAGGCAACTGAGACTGCTGCTGGATTGGCTTCTTCATCCTCCCCCGACCTCTGGCACCCGGCGGCAATCCTCCTCCCGGGAAGGTCAACATATCCAGCCAAGCTTTGTTCATAGGCATTCGCCCATTGCTGAAACCATTGGTTGCCTGTTCTTTTGGCAGAGGACAAAATGAATGGTTTTGCACAATGTCGCTGCCATTCATCAACCTGCACTTTGCTCCAGTCAATGGTTTGAGGCTGAGGCCAGATCCACCGCGGCACTGACTCCTGTCCTAGTCGAAAGGCTCCCCAAACAACTGAGTGATCAGGAAACAGATTCTCCACTGAAGCTGAGACAAAGAGTGCAGCTAGTTCCGGGCTCACAAAAACCATGTCCCTTCTGGTCTTACCTTTGCAGGTAGGTTGTATCGGCTCATTGTGCCGAGCCAAATGAAGCTCCTGAACTTCTGCCCAACCCATTGATCTCCAGAGTGCTATAGCTTCCAGGCTCTCATCTGGGTGATTAAAATCTCCCATGATAAATCGACACCCACTACGTCGCATCACCAGGTGATCAGTCAGATGAAGCAGCATTTTGTTGGTATGGGATTTGGCCTGAGGCCAAGTAGGCCCAGGACTCCACCCATAGATCATGGCACCAGTTATGCCCTGGCTTCCTTGTCTGTGGCCTCCCAGCCAATGTTGACTAAGCATGACGCGTCCTGCTTCATACTGGCCCCCAGGCCAAGGGATGTGAACTTTTCTGGAAGGCAGGTCACTTACCTGCATGACACCCGTTCCAGCGATTTCCGACCTAGCACGAAGAGGAACAGGTGCTCCCGGCAACAATCTCCATCCCCTGCCTCCACAGCGTCCGGTGGCCCGAAGACTAGCTAAGGCAGGTTGCATGCCAGCCTGACTCAAATGCGTTTCCGCAATGCCCCAAATTCCATATGGCAAGTCACCATAGACATGCTCCTTGCCACGAAGTCCTGTGGGGTTTGTGGTCCCCACATAAAACAACTCATCAGCTGAAGGATGAGGTCCCGGATTGAGTGCTTCTCCTTGTCGAAAGCACTGTAACGGCCACCACCACAAAGGACGAGCACTCCATCGGATCCCCGACCCAATATCATGGTATGAGACGGCAGTCCCATCCACGCTGTCGAACTGGATGCGGGCAAAGGACCCTCCAGAGCCTCTTTCCTTGTGAGGATTGGCATCATCTTCAAATGAAACCACCTGGTCATCAGGTGTGCTAATCGGAACAGCACTGAATTGCGGGCTCTCACTGACGAAGCCCTCCACTGCCAAAGGCGCCCCCAACACCAAGCAGCAGAATACCCAAGCCAAAAGTTTGGTGCCAACCATTGTTCGACCAAGCAGCCCTCGCTGACACCTCACGAGAGCCCTTGGGTGAGCTAGTCACTCACCTCTGCCATTAGGACTCTCACTCACTTTCCTCTGCCGCTTGTCCTGCGAGAAGTTCGCAAACATAGCTTCAATGTGAGAGAATCCCTTTCGCATGTCCTCCGCCAGGCAGACAAAGGAGCTCTGAGCATCCGACCCCTGCTTGTGCACCGCTTGGTCCAGTGCTACCATTTGCTCCTTCTGGTTGCGCAAGCCCTCAGACAAGTGGTCCACCCTGCCATTGAGTTCTGCTTGAACTTGGGCCTGGTGTTCGAACCACTGATCGTATCGGCTGTTCTGAGCTTTGATCTCCCCAATGGAGGTTTCAAGTCTGCAGAGCCGAACATCAGCATCCCATGTAGACTGCATAGCAGCATCTTCAGCACACGCGGCCTGTTTTTCAAGCTCTTTGCGAATCACATCCTTCATATCAGATCTGAGCTTTTTCTCCACTTCCTCCAACTTCTGCTTGGCTGTTTCAGTGACCTCAGATCCCTGCGTCCTGGGCTGAGTTGGTTTGAACGATTGCCAAGGGTCACTTTGAAGCCAGGGATCACTAGATGCTCCAGCTCCACTACTCTTGGCCTCTGCCGGCTTGGCCCGTTGTTGCAACTTCATATGCTCCTTGGTTCGAAAGGAGCTGAGGACACTGGGAGCCTCTTTGACGTTCAGCATGGACTTGACCTTAGTGACCACAACATCACCATGCGCTCCCTGAAGAACGGAACTAGGTGGAGCGGCGCCGCTGCCGACATGCCAACCAGCACCCTCTGGTCCTCCCCGGACCGGCTGGAGTGGTTTTGCCGCCCAGCCCCAGGATTTCAAGCATTTGACCAACCCTGCACGAGTTGTTCCATGCGGCAAAGGATGCATCAGGTAGATGTCCTGGACCTGCACCTTCATATAGGTCTCATTTGGCCTCAATTCTGCAAAGGCTTTTGCCATATCGGATTCACGGAACCTGAGCCCCCATCGATGCCCGAGTCGAACCAAGGCCACTGCACCATCCACTGTCTTCTTCTTATGATCCGCCTCCTTGAAGCCCATCTGGTTGAGCCAGACAACTCCAAATCCTGATGCCGGACCCTTGCCATCTGACTGTCTCGGCTCAATGTACAGGCCATGCTGTCCTGATAGATTTTGCAACTGGTCTGCAACCTGCTTGACAACTCTAGCCAACACAGAGAACTGTCCAGCATCTTCAGGCTTGACCCTGCCACCACCATCAGTCCGTGACCACCTCCTCTCCCATACATCTGTAAGCAGGCTTTCATATTCTTGATCCACCAGACAGTGATGCTTTGGACATTGGCCTCCACAAGCTGCTCCACGACAGACAGTCAATCCTGGGACGGCTTGAAACAACTGCTTCAAAGGGCCTTGGCACATAGAGTCCCAATTTCCACCAGCTGCTTCAAACTCATCTCGAAACACGATCAACCGCATAGTCTCTGTAGGCAAGGCTTCCAAGCTAGGGGGATTCCTTTCCAGCTGACGTGTGATGTTCTCATCTCCTAACTGAATCAGGGAACCTTGCACCAAAACAGGCTCCTGCGTCCCTTGATACAGGACTGGAAATCTGAGGTTCTGCACCGGCAGCAAGCCCACCTGCTCATGCGGGCCCCGCTGGCCTGCAGTCATGTCCTTGGTGGAAGCCATCTTCGCTTCGGCCCAGAGCTTCCATCGCCGGTATTCCTTGGGATCCAGCGATTCTCCTGAGAACCTTCGGGTGTTCCCAAATTGAGCACTCTCGTTGGCCATGGCTGCTAAACAAAACCTAAAAAGGAAAAACAGGGACACTGCTTCGCGTCACAACCTACCTAGGTTACGCTTAAGGAACCCCCGGATGCCCCGCCCTGTGGCGGGGCTCCGCTACCAATTAGAAAACCCAGGGCTGGGAAGCCCGTGACCTTCCTAGGTCAAACGCTCGGCCGCTCGGACCTTTTCCGACCTCGGACCGAGTTGCCTGCAGGATCTGACGCGTGAACGAATGCTCGACAGGGGACACTGCAAATTCATATATATATATATATATGTGTATTATTCTGTTAGGTTATCGAGCTTTGGCTTTTCCCACAGTGAGCCACTGGGATCTGAACCACTGAATTGTTTGGGGCCGGGCTCCCTGGGGCTTTAAGACCACAAGAGCTGAGTGGCCAAATTGTATCATTGCATCGATCATCTTCTTCTTCCACCCCAGTTTCCACTCTCCTTGTTCACGATGCAAGTTGTAGCCTTGAAGGAGTCGAATCGGCAGCTACTACATGTTTTTGGCTAAGCAAAATACTGTGGAATGAACTCAAACCTCGGTTGTATTCCTCAAAGCGTCTGACCGCCCCAAAGGGCTTGTTGACCAAATCTATTCTGGTTTCTTTGTATGGCCTTTTCCTATCACAGGGTCACAGTGTTCTAGGATGATGTTTATCCATTTGGATCTATCAATCATTTGGCACCCGTATAGTCCTTCAGACCCTGACATGTCTCTAGTCCCTAGCAGTTGTTTCCTTTCCTCGAACAGTTCATCTATGCTACCCGATTGGGGCAACTTAATTCTTGCCAAACGGTGCCTTAAAGACTCAAAAAAAAACTGACAAGGTGGTGCAACACTTCTTCCCCATTAACAACCCAAGCTTGGCGATATGTAATAAGAATACAGTATATGTATATATACATAATATAGTTATAATAAAAGTGTATATATATATAGTTATATATATATATCAATGTATATATATCAATATAATGGGCCATTGGGTACGTATCATGAAGTGACACCAAGTTGCATAGATCTGTCAGTCCAGTATAAATGTATAAAGCCCTGATGTGATGCCCACCCTTCCTCCCAAATGTCTTGCTCCGAAAGACAGGTCTGAAGAGCACTTGCGTCCACCCCGACGTCCAACATCTCCAGCAAATGATGTGACCCAAAATCCACCAAGGGATTCACAAAGCCTGCGGAACAAAAAAAAACAAAGACAGGTCTGCTGCAGCCCCGCGTCTTTCCAATCGAAACCGCTCAGAACTTGGCAGCGGCTTTTTGATGAACAATGGCCCTGAAGTTGTTTTACTGAGTTGGAAACCAGGAGTTCGGTTCATTTCTGTTTGCAAGACTAGTTCCACAAGTTTCTACTTGCTGACTGACTTGGGGTCAAAAAAGCAGCACCTCGTCCAATGAAGGCTTTGTCTCAAAACGAGGAATCGTAAAGACATATAAAGACCATTAAAGACCCCAAACCAGTCACTGCGAATCATTTCCGTGTCGCCTAAAAGCTTGGGGTGCTTTCTGGATTCGATCTATTACCACGCGGGAACCACTCCACACTAGCCAGAAGATATATATATATCCATGACAAGAAAGACTGAAGGACCTGCAGATTTGCACCGAGGTTGAACCAACCGGCACTTCACCGCCAAACACCTGTTTCACCATACCTGCGCACCTTCGGGCGCCCCTTCGGCATAGAGCACGTCTTGGGCTCTGCATGCCGTGGAGTCGAATCCTCCCCGAAGCAGACCCCTTCGGCCGGAGCCTCCGGACACCCTGACCCTGAGTCGGAACAACGGTTTGGGCAGTGTAAAGCACTCTGCGCTGGAAACCTAATTCTAATAGCAATGGCCTCCAACCTAATAGCAATGGTTGACATGCAAGGAACGCTGCAAAAAGAGTGTGTCCCAAAGACAAATAAACTGTGCAGGGATGCACCAAATCTGTTTAACCGATTTGCTTTTACGCAAAACAAGCTCTGGGATCCCCTCGGTGAAACGGTGTTTCGGGTTCGTCTAGCTTCCTGCGAGGTGTCTGCCGCTGAGATCTTATTGGTTCTGCAACTGGAAGCTGGACATCCGAACTTCCAATTCATCATCTTACTTCAGCGAGTAGAAGGACCCTCAGAAAGCGTGTGCTTTCTCAAGTACTGTAAGTCATGCTGTTGATTCACATGAACAAACGCCAGCCCGACTTGAGATAGAAAGTTCAGTATACAAAGTGTTAATACCTGATCCTCTAGGGTCAACATCAAAACAAGTCCATTGATGAGCATGTGTTGCATGATGGTTGTACAAACACCAACTGGAAAGCCCTCACAATGCATGAGCAGGACTAAGTGGAGAGGTGTAACTCTTGGTTATCACCTGTAGCATGAGGTGCCCTCTTGCTATCGGAGTGGTGTGTTTGCCTGTGTGCGCCTTATGAATGATGCTCAGTTGAGCTGGAATGAATGAATCCAATTTGCACAATCATCTACGAATTTCTATCGTGTCAAATCCTTGATTCGGCTGCCCGTGCAGTATCAGATTTCTAGCCTGTTGGGCTCCCCAATTTCAACGACACATTGTCGCAGCGGTTCTGCGTCCAATACATCTCCTGTCTGTGCGTTGAAGCGCACCGTAAAGGCCACATCAAAGGCCGCGAAGAACAGAAGCTTCATGACCTCGACGTTCGCAGCTTCCCACGAGGACTATCTTTGGCTTCATGCTTCTGATGGACAAGACTTGGACGATTGGATGTCAGAGGCTCATCAACCGAAGTCCAAGATTCTCCAACAGCCACCAGGACGGGCTTCCCTCAAACAACTATCCACATACCATGAGTTTGAAGGCCTCACATTTTCGGTCCTTCCTCAATTCCTCAGCAAATGAAAACCCACAAAATGCAAGGTTGCAAGGAACAACATATGGTGCACCTTCCTGCACCATCGCATGGGTGTCCAATGGAAATTCCAAGTGCAGGGTAGTCCATCCAGGACACCCGGACAGGATGGTCCGCTCTGTGTGTTTCCACTTTGAAGATTTCAGATCTTCGTTGGGCGCAAAAGGACCTCATGAGGACTGAATGATTGCGCACCTTCTGCGCAGCTTCCCCGCCTGACACGTTGATCCTCTCATTACAAACTCACACGTGGAAACTTGGCAGAATCAGAAGCTACAGGTGATGGCAGCTACAAACAAACAAAAAGTTGTGAAGTTGAAAGTCCTTGCTTGCTGGGAAGGCACCTTTTCTTGGTCCTGGGCCTCTTCCATCCCTCTAGTGATATCAACCTATCGTCTTGAAGGCCAGCTGCGTCAGTGTCGACAATATAACTCATCAATAATTTGCTCGGCAATGACCGAGAAAACGTGGCGAATGGCTCTTGCAACAGCCCTCGGACCGTTTCCAGAAGGTTTTTTCGTTTCCCCGTTCTGCCCAGGCACGGGTCGTGAAAGGGGATTTGCAAACTGCGCACCGCCGTCGGGGCAGCTCAAGCCCAACAGCTCCCAGTGACGAGGGTTCGGTGTTTTGATGCTTCGTCGATGACCCGGTCGGACCCGTTCGGTGCCTACCTATCCACCCCGTGTGTAATGATGACCCCTCGTGTTTGACAACGCCGGTGTTGAGGCCAACACAAAAGCATTAAAGAGACCACTTGTATTCTATAAGACATGAAAGCTGGCTGTGCACTGCTTGTCTGACCATGACGGTCACACCAAAAAATTGTGCGAGGTAACCATAGGTTTAGTGATCATAACGACAGGGTCAGCCATTAATTAACAGAATCATACACGATTATGAGAATCAGATCCACGGAGGCCAAGAAAAGCAATGGTCGCCTCAAATCTGACCTCCCAGTCATCCTCCACTGATTTGTTGCTATCACTTCGATGACCGACCTACCTGCGAAGCTGCTAAACAACACAGTCTGCTCCCGTCCGAACCTGACGCCAGGGCTCTACCATGGATCTCAGGAAAGGCTCGAGGTCTGAAGCCTGCTGAACGCTCGGTCAGAAGAATGGCGCGCTTAGCGCGCTTCGTTCAGAAGCGTGGAACGAGAGCTTCGTTGGGGAGATTGGTACGATGAACTGGGTGAACTTGATGCTTCTCCGAAATCATGGATTGTCGGAGAAAGGTGCAGAAATTGGACAGCCCAGGAATGCCCAGGAAATCTTATACAGAAGTCTTGTCTCTGACATGTCGCTGTCAGACTTTCACTTTTCTCATCACATCTACTGGCTTGTGATTTGTCGACCGCCTCAGTGAAAACTCAGAATCTCATCTCCTGCCCAAAAGAGTGAAAGAGCCATAGCAGAATGATCCGAACCTGGTTGTCAACATAACTGACCTATATTATAGTTTGGCGTGCGTGCTGCTTTTAAGCGTTCAAACTCACACTCTGCCTTGGGGTGTTTGGTCGCGATGCAGGGATGCACATACATAGACATAGATGCTTTCAGGGCAGGTCTTGACTTGATCCAGCAACAAAGAAGGCGTGCTGTGCGCTGCGTGCGTGAAGTAACATGAAAGCCCAAAGCACCAGTAAAACATTAAGTAACAAATAGCTATGAGGGCTCCTTCTCCGTCTTTGGTTAGTCCACCCACCCTGCCAAATCCTAATGCGTGCGAAAAGAAAGTGGAGATCTTTTCGAACAAAAAAAGGGCCGCTCGGTCTCGGGGGTCGGCAGTCTCAGTCTCGGTGCCTCGAAGACTTTGAGGATCTGAGGTCTCAAGGGGTCTTTCTGCAGAAAGCCTTCGGAGTCCACCTCCTTGAGATGGGGCCAATACCGATGAGACGTGCAGTCGCGATGGGACGAAGGGATGTGGGATGATGTGGGAGAATTGGTTTTCCGACCTGAACATTGGGCATGATCAAGGATCGAACACCAGATCAAGCTGGGAGATGGTCTTTGAGGCATCGGGTTTCCTCTAAATCCCGTCCCGTCCTCAACAACATCCTCCACAGCCTCGTTGCTGTCCTGGATCAGACCGGTGCATGGGCTGCGGTCAGACCCATACCCCATCAATCTCCATCATACCCCCTGTAGCCACCTTCCATCAATGACTCTGGGCTAAAAGCTCCTAGGTCGAACCGGATGTCAAACCGGTCGACCTAGGGGGTCCAGGTTTCTCCCCAAAAATGATCAACCTATCATAATCAAATCTACTTACCAGCACTACCCAAGGTATTTGGATGGAAAATACATAGTCAGGGGGGTCTAGAAACCACTCTGTCTGGATATATATATATATAGTTTCAATCTGCACCAAGGCTTCAGACCTCCGATGGCACGGAATCTGCCTCTGGCACCTCGCGCACCTGGAGAGATGAAAACACCAGAGGCAGTTGGTAGAATTAAGACCTGTCAGTGGCATGGTCAAAAAGGCACATCAAACCCTGCAGTTCAACCAATACGTGAAATTTGTCTGGTTCCCATGGAGAAAGGTACCTGTATCAGTACTTGATGTCATGGAGGACGTTCTGCAAGGACCCATTCCTTCAAATACTGTACTCAACCGAATCTTCTGAATCGAAAAAGGGGTTCCTCTAAGTTGAACCATCGACAGTCGACCGGCTCAGTTCTTGGTGCTGCTTTGACGCGATTTGGTCAAATTGGACCACGTGATATGGGTCAAATGTCCTCTACAACCAGTGAGACAAAAATTTGTTCCTCTAAGAACATGTTTTCCTGTTCTTCATTTATGATTTTGCAGATACAAGCAAATGTTGCTGAGACGCCGGATGTTGCTGCCTATCTGCAAAGGCTCGGTGTTGCATCTTGTTGCTCCAAAAATACCCTAGCTGCTAGCCCGCAACATAGACCTGGAAGCAAAACATATTGGTCTTCAGAATGAAATGTCCCACAGTTCCACATCGTACTTTTCTCAGAATGAGCGCAGGCCATAATGTCGACAGAATAAATACAGTAACTGTATACATTTTGCACGTTTACATATATATATATATGTTTACATGCATTCAAAAAGGGACTCAGATTCTCTTTCAAGCTCAAACAATTGTGGCTGGTCACTATGTCATGGTCTTATAGTCCAGTAATGTCCAGTACCTCCTAGGGGAAGCCAGAAACTGATAATCGAACAATTTGAAAGAACCCCCCATGGCCCAAAGCCTTTTCCGTGTTGTCAGCGGACAAGAGCTTCATCACCTCTTGGTCACCAGTCTGAGCTGCGAAATGCCAAGCAGTTTGCCCGGATCGATGGACCTGATCTTTATCGGCACCAGCCTGAAGCAACAGCCGGACCACTTCCACATCACCATCCTGAACTGCAATATGCAAAGCGGTGAACCCATCCTCTTCACTGACCTTGTCTTTGTCAACACCTGCCTCAATCAGCAGCTGAAGAACTTCAAGATGACCATTGGCAGCTGCCCAATGCAGGGGTGTCGCCCCATCGTCTGCAACCCGGTCTTTGTCTGTTCCAGCCTGCAGCAGCAAGCGGGAAACCTTTAAATGGCCTTTCTGAGCAGCGAAATGTAAAGCAGTGAAGCCAAAGGCGTCCTCCTGGTCTGTGTTTGCGCGGGCTTCCAGCAGCAAACTAATGCATTGCCAATGGCCTGCCCATGCTGCAGTCAGTAGTGGTGACCAACCCTCTTCATCTGTCACATCAGGACTGAGAGGAAGCTGTAAGAGTGTTTCAACTTCGCCGCAGCGATTCTTCGCACACGCGGAAAGGAACTTCTCATCTTGTCCTTCCTCAGGAAGCACAAAGTCCAGAATGACCAACTGCACGCAAGGAGACGGAGACGCAAGGACCGCGAGGAAGGAATCATCATCCAACTCCTTGTTTTCGTGGAACCATCTCTGTTGGAATCTTGGGATTCCAATCTGCTTGGCCAACTGCCTCTTGAGGAGTTTCACCGGATTGCCCTCAACCTCTTCGGAGTTGAACCAGCTGATTGCTTCCCCTGACATGGCCGAGCACACGCACAGCGCGGTCATGGAAGAAGCCCATCTAGTGGCATGAAAAGAAGATGAAATGGTGAAATCCAAGGCACCCAGTCTTGGTGAAATCAAATGACACTTTTGGTGCTTTGTCATCCAGATGTCTTCAGGGTGTTGACACAGACTCCGATGATGGGAGGGAATAATACACATTGAGATTCAATGTATCATAATTAATGTAATTGAATTGAATTCTTGTTTCTAATAGCTTCTTGTTACTAGTAGTAAGGCCAGGAGCCCCTAGTAGCTTCTTGCTCCTAGTAGCGATGCGGGCTCTTAGTAGCGTCCTTGCTCCTGTACCATAAAGATGTGGGAAATATCTTGATACAACGCCACTCCTCTCGTGACTTCTCTGACCGAGAAGAGCAGGACAGAAACCCATTTGGGCCTGACGGCGAAAGAAGTATGGCTGGTGGTGCACAGAATTGCGAGGGCATTTCAAGGCTTTAAGGAGTTTTCAAGAGAAAGCTTGCGCTTTTGGTTCATCCTGGAAATACTCCACTTCATGTCAGTGTGGGGCACGAACGCTAGCTCCAAAACCATGAACGCCCCACCTATCATGGTATTGAGCTAGCGTATTGAGCCCCCCGACTTCATGCCAGATCTTTTGATATGGCCGACGGCGCCCGACGACATGTTGGCACCTCTTGGATGCCGTTCCTCAATGCCCCCGCGCTCTTCAGCCGCTGAGGGACCGGAGGAGGCGGTGATTCCTCGAAGAGAAGGAGCTGGTGCAGCTGACCAAGGAATTCCGTCAAACACTTTGGGGCCGCTAGTGGGAGGGAAAATTCGATTCAACTCTGATAAAAGAGGGGGATCTATTTGGACAAATCGTCTTTCCAACTTTTTGGATGAGTGAACCGTGATGGGTTTTCACACAGGCACGTTAAACATGTTACACCTTTGGAGGTGGCCTAAGACTTACATATGTTTAGGACCTACCAACCTACCCCGTCAACTAAAACATGCTAAAACTGGTGTCCACAAAGCAAAAACCGCATCCAAATGGACTAAAACTATCCCGAACTGGAAATCTTTAAATCAAACTTGTTGACTATAGCTGACTAGCTGGTTTGTTTGGTGCTTTTTTGCCTATATATCTGGATTCCTCCTGCTCTGCTCCTCTTGGTTCCACGCCTCCTCAGCATGCACCGGTGCAGAGGCGCTGCGCACAGAGCTGCCCTGCAAAGCATCTTCGAGTTGGGAACCCCAAATCATCGAATGGATGATTTCGTGGATCTTTTCAACCAAAGAGGTAACTGTTTTACTGGTGAATGTTCCAATCACAAAGTGATTTAAACATGTCGGGTCTTCCCAACTAGTGGATTTGCTGGTATTGCAGTATACTGCTGGCAGGCAGGCGACACAAACACGGTTCTGCTATATATATATATATAGATGTTCTTTCACGAGGAGAACACACCTAGCTTAAACTCATCAGCAAGGTTACGGTAACGGTTACGATCAAACTGCGCAGTTCTGCACAAGTGGAAACCTTACATAGCTTGCCCCCGCGCCTGCGGATCAGTAGGTCCTGGCCAGCGAAAACGCCAAATGTTCAGCCGCCCTTGTAGCTACCCCTCCTCAATTCACTTTCTTCATGTGCTTGTGCATGTAGCCGTCTGGAGTCTATACCTCTTTGAGAACTCCAACCACCACATTTTAAAATGCAAAAATGGGACTTGCCCATCTTGTGCTGACTTGTCGATGGCAAGGGACCAGAAATGTCTGACGGAGCTGTCCAAGCTTCCGCGAGATTTCGCATATGGAACAGGACCTCCCCATCATTATTGGCATCAAACTGATGAAACCATTGAAGTGCAGGGACCTCTAACTGGCGCGATTTGGGTGCCAGGGAAAGACCTGGAAACACCTGAAGCCTTGAAATGCTTGTTCAGCACTTGAGTCTTGAACTGCTTCTAGTGGTCATGAGGTCGAACCAGATTGGTGAGAATGGGCATGAAGATTGGGACCCCGGCGTGCACAAATCCCATCAACTCAGCAGCTTTCGGAGAGGATTCAGAGCTTTTGGTCAAGTCGTTTTTCTGGAAACAAACTTCAGTGAACAGCCCGAAGATACATGCGCAGCCGTCTGAACGCACCACCACCGAACCCTTCAGCTATATGCCAAAAATGAACATAATTAACTGTCCACTGTCCACTAGGTATGTCCGCATATGTCCACCGTGTCCACCAATCACAGTTTCCACTTCGTTTTGACCACCCCTGTCCGCACTGGATCTGGCTCTGGCCTTCCAGTTCTGCGAAGGAGAGCATCTTGAAGGGCGCTGTGGAGATCTTCCGAAGGAAGTTATAGACCTCATGGCGGTTTTCATGACAAGTGGGCTCTCATTTTATCGTCCATTGATATCCATTGATCTAAGGCTAGAACAAGTGGGCAATTGCTGCTTGCTGCCTGCTGAAGTCTGATCTGTTGTTTCTGCTGTCAAGGATATGTTCCAGATCCACTTTTCAGTTTGTGGTGTTGCCACCGTCCCACTTCACCGTCCCACCGTCCCGGATGAAACAGGAAGACATCAATCCTTTAACAAGTAGTGATGCTTCCCGGCCATGAATAGTTGCAGCATGAATCATCAAATTGTCCTTCTCTCAGCATGAATCATGTGCATTTCTCGTTTAAGTTAAAGGGCTCGAAGGTGCTACTGTATGCAACATGTGGCTCTCCCAAAGAGGATGAGAAACTCTGACACCCATATGGCCCACATGGATCAAAACACATTTCTCTACTTACTTCTGATGCTTTGGGGAAATATCGTCCTTGCCCACTGATACTTAGACTTATGTAGACTCATAGCCATCCTGTTGTCAAACTCCAAATATGACAAAAAGACATGAGTTCAATTGCTCATACTCATCCTCGTTAGGGTCAATACCCGAACCCGGGTTCACAGGCTCTTCAAGCACCTTCATCAACACCTTCAGTTGCACCTTCACAGCAAAGAACCGTCTATATATACACTATCATTATACAACTCAGAGTTAACCAGCATATGTAGATCCCCAAACCACGGCTTTTGAATGCTTTTGAGAACATAGGTTGTATGTTCACCAGCCAGCCATGACTTTCGTACAATCGGTGATGTGATTTTGCGATTTTGCCAAGGCCTACTCAATCCGATGTCATGTCTGTAGCTTTCGCCACTACCAGTGGGTCCAGTTGCGAGATTCAACTTTTGAGACCAATGACTACCAAACGGAGTTCGTTACGTTGAGTTCCCCACTTTAGGTACGTAGTACAAGTGATAAAGGATCATTCAATTATTCATAGTTATTCTTTGTTGATCCACTCCTCACCTTGCCTTTCCAGTCTTTCAACAGCTACGAGCAGCTAGGACTCCCTGGCCACGCCAGTGGGTGGATCCACCACAAGGCTTGGGCAAAGTAACAACTTCCTCGTCTGGGCGTCCATCCTTGGTGTGAACCAAAGCTACTAGAAACAAGTGCATCGCTACTAGTAACAAGTGCCTTACTAGTAGTAACAAGAAGCTACTAGGAGCAAAGGGCATCGCTACTAGGAACAAGGTTCGCTACTAGTAGTAACAAGACACGCAACACCGGGAATGCGGTGGCCAAAGATTCTTTCTGGGATGACCCATTCCTGACAAGGTTAACGATGGCCATTCTGTGCAATCGGTCAATCAAAAACAAGGAAAGGTACGTCTTCATGTCTAGCAGGAAATTGGATGAATTGCTCCTTCTTCACTACCTTTGGCAGGAAGAAGCTATCCTTGAACCACTCAATGATGGTGTTCCTTATTTGTAGATGTTGTTTCAAACCTGGATGGTGCTGCATACTTGTGTGGAATGCACAGGTATGCAGACGTGACTAGAACCAGCTGCTGGAAGCTACATCAGTTTTCCAGGCTCCTCACGGTGGCAAGGCTTTCTCCAGCACGCCATACACCGCAAATTGCACCTTCCCCAGCTACATCACATCGACAAGTGAAATCAGAAAAGGAGTAGGACAGCTGATATTGTAGAGAATGAACGAAAAGTATATAGGATGGTCTAACAATTCTATCAAGCTATGCTGCTGCTGCTGCTGTTGATGGAGGAAATCCGGTACACTGTCCGTGCCAAAGGACATGCAACGATGTTCACAATGGTTATTGTTGGAGGATGTTGTTCCTGAGCAGGATCCTTTGATGTCCTTTCCCACCAAGCATCTCGGGCCAAAACACACCCAAGTAATCATAAGGCTCTGGTCTTCCCCTACAACACCCATCAACACCCTCATGTCCCGGCCACCGATTCTTGATTCCGCCATTTGGGACCTTTCATGTATCCCCAACGCTCCAACTCCACCGATCTTCAGACCCCCGGCCGTCAGGTAGACCAACAAGTGAACATGCTTCGTTGACCTCAATGCGACTTCCGATTCCTTCATCTTCCCTGCCGCTTCAGGGCGAGCTTACCCTCCGAACAATTACGGGAAACTGAGCTTGTCGAAATGAAATTGCAGAGGACACTCAAGGAATGGGTGCACAGGAACACGTCTCAGGGAAAAAAGAAAAGCGTACGCAGCGACCCAGCATCCTTGAATGTGATCCCTGTGAGGCCATACCAATCTGGGAATCGGCAGTGTTTGCGT